AGATCATTCCCAGAGTGTGGCTTTTCCACCATTTCCCTCAGGAACACCCGTGCTGTTTTTTAGATTAATTTTTCAGGTTTGAGATAACACTTGGTCATATCCTGTTTAAAAAAACAAACAAACAACTAATCTATGACCTCTTCTAACAGTTAGAGATGTGTTTGCCTCATATAGGGTAGCCCAGAAACCATCATGATCCCCACAACTGTGGCTTCATTGTTCCACCCTATCCACACAAGACATGTTTTTTTTTTTCTCTGTTTTTTTTTTTTTTTTTTTTTACTTCAAACACTGNTCCTCTGTCCATGGGATTCTCCAGGCAAGAATACTGGAGTGGGTTGCCATGTCCTTCTCCATTTCTGTTTTATTTTATTGATGCTTTGAATGTCTTGGGCCTTGTAGACCAGGATGGAACTGTCCCTCTCAGGGTTCGCTAATTTATAGAGATAGAAAACAACTTGCCTTCAATCACACTTTTTTGTGCAAACCAACCAATCCAAACCAATATGCCTAACCACCTCCTTTATGGACTCTCATGCCCCAAACCAATATTCTCACTGCCCTAAATCACCCAGGGCCAGGTACCAGAAAACTAGGGATCACCCATATGGCCCAGAGCCCTGTTGAGCTTATTCAAACTGGGACTTCCCTTGTGGTCCAGTGGTTAAGAATCCACCTGCCAATGCAGGAGACATGGGTTCAATCCCTGGTGGGAGAGGATCACACGTGCCACAGGGCAACTAAGCCCATGTGCTCCAGCTACTGAGCTCATGCACCACAGCTACTGAAGCCTGTGCACCCTAAGAGCCCCTGCTCTGCCACAAGAGAAGCCACCACAATAAGAAGCCCACACACCACAAGTAAAGAGTAGCCCCCGATCACCACAGCTAGAGGAAGCCCACACACAATTAAGACCCAGCACAGCCAAAAATAAAAATAAATGCATATTTTAAAATAACATTCTTAAAAAAAAAAAGAAAAATTATTCAGAGTAGCCAACTCAATCTCTTTCTTTGCCTCACCCATTCCTTCTTGTGGAAACCATAATAAAGTCTCTGGGCAAAGCTTTCTATACACACCTTCTGCCTCCTGGCCAACTTTCGGGCTTAGGTCCCTGCATGTGCCTCTTGGGAACTCTGCATAATAAAACTTTCAATGGCATTGGACTCCTGTGTCATAACTCAGCCACCTCTATAAATTAAGTACTGGGCACAATCAAAACATTTGTCACTTCCATTATAGCAGTTAACATATACTCTCAGATATTATGTATATAGTAGATACTTTCATCTCCAGAGTCTAATCTCCCTGAGAGCAGGAACCATATTTTACTAAAAAGCTCTGTAGTATGGGTTTGCATGCCCCAGAATGCACACAATCGGTGTGTATCCAACTAATTTGCTGAACTGTGGTCAATTCCTGTTCCTTGGCAAAGCCATTTCCTTGCGATTGTTCTTCTCCCATAGCAACAGTACGCCATAGGATATGCAGAGAAGTGGTTCTCATTTCCCCCAGGGAAGAAATAAAAAAGTCTGCCCCACAAACACAAGGCATTACCTAGACTACTGAGTCCCAATAAGGAGTCTAGGCCTAGACCAATATTAGAGGCATTTACACAGAGACAAAGATGCAAACCGGTGACATGGCTGCTCAGATAGTGCTGTGGCTCAGGACTCTGCATCAGCAACAACACAGGAGGCAAATCGTGACAGCATTCATTGGAGAATAAATGGAAATTATTTTGAGTATCTGATTGGATTGACAGTGAGGAACTGGGGATTCTTTCTCAAAAACCTAAAGCATCTTAACTATCCCGTTCTCAAGATTTGCTCCACCATGTTGTTGTTTTTTTAAATTATATATGCTTGAGTTCTGGGACTTAAACAGAGATGCTCTCTATCCCTCAGTATTTCTAACTGAATAATTCAGATCCCCTGGAGATGGAGATGGCAAACCACTCCAGTATTCTTGCCGGGAAAATCCCATGGACAGAGGAGCCTGGTGGGCTACAGTCCAAAGGGTTGCAGAGTTAAACATGACTAAAGTGACTTAGCAAGCAACAAAATGAAAATATAAGTATCTAGAAATACTCTTTAAGATAAGTAACATATAGTCATCAGTTTTTAGGTCATCTGTTATTGGCAAAAAGACACGGATTTGCAGCCTGAGGACTGGTATGTTCAAGTACAAGAGTGACTAGGCTCTGTCACTTATCAGCTGTGTGACCCTGATAAAACCTTTACCTCTCTGCCTTTATTGACAAATAAGAATCTATCATAAGAGAACCACCCTGACGATTAAATGTTAAAGATGCTTCACCTGCTTCTGGGTCAGAGCCATGGCGGTGGCAAATTCAAGCCCTGTCAATCCCATGGTATTCTTTGATGACAGCATTGGCGGCCAGGAAGTTGGCTGCCTGAAGACTGAGCTCTTTGCAGACATTGTGCCTAAGACTGCTGAGAATTTTAGGCAGCTCTACACAGAATTCAGAAAAGATGGGCTTCCAATAGGATACAAAGGGAACGCCTTCCACAGGGTCATAAAATATTTCATGATTCAGGGTGGAGATTTTGTTAATGGAGATGGTACTGGAGTCACCAGTGTCTACTAGGGGCTGTTTGCAGATGAAAATTTTAAGCTTAGACACTCAGCTCCAGGCCTGCTTTCCATGGCAAACAGTGGTCCCAGTACAAATGGCTGCCAGTTTTTCATCACCTGCTCTAAGTGTGATTGGCTAGATGGGAAGCTCATGGTGTTTGGAAAAATCACTGATGCACTTTTGGTGATGAGAAAGATTGAGAATGTTCCCACAGGCCCCACCAATATGACCAAGCTGCCTGTGGTGCTCTCACAGTGTGGGGAGATTTGGTCCGAAGGGAGGCCGAATCAGACCCTCTACCTCTGCCTCTGCAGGCCTCCCCGTGCTCGGTGTGATGCTCTTGAGTAAGATAACAGGGATTGGCCCCCGTACTGGTTTCCCTGCTGGCTGCTGCCCCATTTGACCGAGAGACCTTGGAAGCATCACAGATTCAGAATCCAAGATCTTGTGTTTAAGTCAACTATAAATAAAGTCATTGCTTTTTTTAATGCTAAAGGTGCTTCATAAACTACAAAGCACTGCACAAACATCAGTCATCTCTTGCACTGGAAGCTCCAGAGCCTGGCATGAGACCTGGCACAGAGCTAGAATTCAAAATTCACAGACTTATGTAAGTAACTGATGAGTTGTGTGATCTCAGGCAACAAAATTCTCTTCTCCTGTACTTCCTCCTCCTCCTCCTTTGATATCACTGTCATCCTTGTTCACTGGACTACAGTCATACTGTCCATTTTCTTGTCCTCCTAAACAGCAAGCTTACTGCTGCCTCAGGGCCTTTGCACCTACTGTTTCCTCTGCCTGGATCACTCTTCCTCAGCTCTTTGCATGGACATTCCATTCTCCTCAGTCAGGTCTTAAGCCAAATGTCATTTCTTCAGAGGCTTTCTCTTACCACTCTAACTAATGTTCCTCTCCTATCATTCACCTAATATATATTCCTGTTTTATTTTCTCTACCTGTTGACTTTTTACACTCTCCTTCACTAGAATAAAAAACACTACTAGAAATTCCTTGTCTTTTTTAAAATTAATTTATTTGTTTGGCTGTATCAGGTGTTAGTTGTGGCACGTGGGATATTAGATATTCATTGCAGCATGGTGGTTCTTTAGTTGCAGCATGGTGGTTCTTTAGTTGCAGCATGTGGGATCTGGTTCCCTGACCAGGGATTGAACTTGAGCCCCCTGCATTAGGAGTGCAGTCTTAACCACTGAATCACCAGGGAAGTCCCTCCTCTGTGTCTTGTTCACCACTGTATTCCAATGCCCCAAAACATCTAGCTCATAGAAAACTCTCAACAAACATCTGAATAAATAAGACTGAAATAACTTTATATCAAAAGTTTCATTTATTCAACAAATATTTTGTATGCACCTACGAGGATTCAGGCTTTATTTCAAAGTGGTGGAGATTCAGCTGAGAACAAAATAGACAAAATTCCTGCTTTCTTGGGACTTGCCTTCTAGTGGGGAAACAAACAAGATAAAAAGAGAAGTACATGCTATATCTGATAATGTTTTAAGGAGAAAAAATAAAGAGAGCAGTAAAGGAGGATATGAAGTGTATGTGGAGGGGCACACAGTAATGAGACTGAGCCATGATGGTATGTGGGGGAAGTACATTCCAAAACAGGATTAAGTGGGACAGGAATATAGGGGTTGGAGGCTAACACAGTAGCTGATGAGGTCAGGAAGGTTAAGAGAATTCATATTGTATAGTACCCTATCGACTAAACCAAGGACTTTGACTTTTACGAAAGAACGATGAGAAGGTTTTGGAGAATTTAAGCATGGGGTATCACGATATGGCTTGCTTTAAGAGGATCGCTGGGGCTGCAGTTTTGGGAACACCTGAAAGGTAAGTGAAGGGACCAGTAACGACATTACAAATACCATAGCAAGAGATTGGGGCTCCGAAAGACTAGGGAAGGAACAGGTGTGGGGTTGGAAGATTACATTTTGACTTTTGACAGTTATTTTGGAGTGGAGTTTAGGGAGAGTTCTGGCCTAGGCGTCAGCACCTGGAAATCAAATGGTACCTAATATAAAAGTTATCGAGTCCCAGCTCTATCTCTTACTAGTAGCGAACTCGTGAGTAAATCATTTCTAGGTTCTGAGGCTCTGTTGCCCTACTAGTGAAATGAAAAGGATATTCCCATATAACAGGGCCTTCATGAGAACAAAATGAGAAGTGTCAAAAGTTGGCCGCGAGCAAGGTGAGAACCCTGAGCCAAGACCGCACGGCCCTGCCCCAGAGGAGAGGACTGCCGTGGAAAGACCGACTTTCGAATCCACCACACGAGCTCCGCAGCGACAAGAAAGAAGCGCGCGTGCCAAAGCCGCAAAGGAGCCTGCGGTGCCCAAACCTCGCGAGATTTCTTGGCCGGGCAAAGTCATCTTCCCAGCCACATCTCGCGAGATCAAGATACATGAGCGGCTATCGGCCGGTTAGGGCTTGCGGGGAAGATGGAGTATCCTGCATTGAGCACGGTGGAGAACGCGGACAGCGGCGGGGCCCGGTCGTACAACAATTCGGAGGAGCGGGAGGGCCGGGAACCGGATGGGCTGCGCTTCGACCGCGAGAGGGCGCGCCGCCTCTGGGAAGCAGTGTCCGGGTCGCAACCAGTAGGGAGGGAGGAAGGTGAGTCCGGGGGCTTCAGAGGCTGGAAGCCCCTCGCCCGCCTTCTCGTTTCGCGGGGAGTGGCGGAAGCGCGGGGCGGGGACGTGGACCGGCCCCCAGGTCTACGGTCACACCCCCTGGCGCTCGGCCCGCCCCCTTGCGCGAGGCGCCAGGGGACTCCCTGACAAGCGCACCACGCTATGGCGTGGGCGCCGTGGGCCAGCTCCCCTGAAAAATCCAGGCTGCGGCACCCCAAGAATCGCGCGCAGATGGTCAAGGGCCTTCTCACGCTGTGGCCGTGGGCTTCTTTCCCCCGCCTTCGTCACCCACCAGAGCTCATCTCTTCCAGAATTCGAGGACTGGAATCTATAGACTTGCCGTCTAGGTCATCTCGGAGACCCCCAGAACCTTCCCTACCAGCCTCGTAGCCCCTTCACCGTCCCAGTTTCCAGGTTCACCCATCCCTAATGCCTCTTGGCTCCCTTCTTTCATACCCAACACTTCCGAGGGCTGTAGATGTAGAAGGTCGCCTCCTTACCTCAGTGTTCCTTCTGGACTTGGTGATTGAGTCCTGGCTTACCTTTGTTTTTTGGTGTCTCTTTTCTTGTGTCCACCAACTGGGTCCTTTTTCTAATATGGGGGCCAGGAGCCTGAGAACCTGGCCAGGGCATTCTTTGGCTCCAGCTTCTTGTTTGTATCCCACGCTTGACCCAAAGTTGAGGAGAATAGAATACACAAGGCCACCTAGGGGGGCATTTCTGGGCTTCCCAGCTTGCTCTGCACTTGACCTGGCCCTGGATAAGATGGAGATAGAAAGAGGGGAATAAAAAGAACGGCTGTGACCCTGTTTTGTGACCCACTTCACAGTTCTTAGCAGAGCTAGCTGCTTAACTCTAACCCAGAAGTACACAAACTGGGCTTTTGTGCTAATCCCGTCAGGTAATCTGCAGAGAAATCAGATTTCTCTAAAGATTTGTTTGCTTGCTGAGCAGACTAATCTTGGAAGTTAATTTATTGCTTGTGAACTGATTGCCATGGGATAAAATGAGGTTTTTGACCACATCCAAGGAAGATATGTTTAAATTTGGGGTGGTACACACGACAGACCTATACCCTGTATATACTTTACCAGTTAAACTAGTCTTGTGTGACTCTTAAATTAATATGAGGCTCCTATCTCCCTCATTCTTATGCTTTCAAACTTGTTTGGCACAGTTACAATTTTCCTTTCATTCATTTGACAAATACTGTCTTCCCAGGATTGGCTGGAAATCAGAGCTGCAAAGATGAAAATACTGTCCTTGCCCTGGACGGGCTTGTGGTCTAGTCCAGGAAGCAGATGCCAAGACAGTTGCAGTATAATGTAGTGGGTGCAGTAAAGAGGAAAGTCTAAGAGTTGGGGGTACACAAAGAGGAAGTGACCTTTGTCCTCAGGGGACAGAGCAGGCATGCGCTGGACCTTGAAGCAGAGAACACAGCAGCTGTGCTCTAGAAAGTGAACTGTTTATGTGTGTATGAGTGCACACAGTCACTAAAAGACCAATTCACTTCTCTGATCTCACTTTCTCCAGTGATTTGTTTGAGGTCTAGATAGATACCTATAACACCAGGTCCTACTCACCTTGGGTTTTTTGTTTTCTCTTAGTTATAATTTCTGTTTTCTCATTGAGTTGTAATTTACACACCATAAAATTCACCCATATAACTGTACAATTCAATGATTTGTAGTAAAAGTATAGAGTTGTATAACCCTAGTCCAACTTAGAATATTTCCATCACTCCACTTAGTTCCTTTGTGCGGTTTTTTTTTTTTTTTTTCATTTCAGAGAAGGCAGTGGCAACCCACTCCAGTACTCTTGCCTGGAAAATCCCATGGACGGAGGAGCCTGGTAGGCTGCAGTACATGGGGTCATGAAGAGTCGGACATGACTTTGTGACATCACTTTCACTTTTCACTTTAATGTATTGGAGAAGGAATGGCAAGCCACTCCAGTTTTCTTGCCTGGAGAATCCCAGGGATGGAGGAGCCTGGTGGGCTGCCGTCTATGGGGTCGCACAGAGCTGGACACGACTGAAGTGACTTAGCAGCAGCAGCAGTATTTATTATTTGGCTGCGTCAAGTCTTAGTTGTGATTATGTGGGATCTAGTTCTCTGACCAAGATCAAACTCAGGGCACCTGCATTGGGAGTGTGGAGTCTTAGCCACTGAACCACCAGGGAAGCCCCTCTTTTGTGCTCTTTTACATTAAATCCCCACTCTCACCTCCTGCCCTTGGCAACCACTAATCTGTTTTCTGTCTCTATAAATTTGCCCTCTCTGAACTTTTCACATAAATGGAACATATAATACATAGTCTTTTGCATTTTGTTTCTCTCACTCAGCATGTTTTTGAGGTTCAGCCAAATTGTAGTGAGTATTAATACTTTATTGCTTTTTATTGTTAAGTAGAACTCCATTGTATGATTCTTGCTTTTTTATCCTCTAATGATCTCTGCCTGTCCAGTGGGCTGTTTAAACTAGTAGCATTTAATTTAGCTGTTGATATGGCTAGATTTGCTGTCCCTCCTTCATGACTTGTGAAAATCAGCCCTCTGTTTCCCATTCTAGATCTCTCAGCCTCTGCCCCATAGGTCTTCTGATTATCTACAATATAGATACAAAGTAAATCCTACCAATTAGGTGCTTTCTCATAAGATTTGGATGGCAGAAATGTGAAAATCACATTCCTAAGACTATTGGTACTATCAAGAAAAATTGTAAAACTATAAGGTCTTCCCACATCAGTGTTCCAGCATCCATTCTCCAGCTTCATAGGTTAAGAGGCCTGTTCAGTGACATGGAGCTTCTTACTTCAGCAAGGCTGCAGTGGAGGCCTCAGTGACTGTAGCTCACATGTTGGAACAGTTTTGCATGCATTGTTCCTGGAGACATTTCCAGAAGGCTCAGCCTAGAACCTTCAGTCTTTCCAATATTTTCTAAGCACCTAATTGCTTGTATCAAACCTGTTCCCTGTGGTAATTGGTAGATGGATTAGAGTTGTATCTGAGCAACAGGGATGCACATTCAGGCCACCTTCTCAGAATTCTGATAACTCATGTAAGTTCTTTTTCCCCTCTGTAGACCTTACCTTCCTCCAGCCTCATGAACTTCTTGCAGATTTTTGTTAAGTCAGGAATTCAGGAAAGGGTTGACTGGACAGTTCTGACTCAAGGTCTCTTTTGCAATTGCAATCAGATGGTGGCTAGAGCTGAAACAATAGTAGATGGAACTTCTGGAGAGACTAGGTGTCTCTTTTTTTCATGTAGTCTCAGGGTCTCTCCATGTGATTTCATAATGGAATAGTTAGGGCTTCCTCCCAGCTTGGAAGAAAACTGCCTATGTAGTGGCTTAAGACTTGAAGAACAGTGCTTGCTTTGGCAGCATATATACTAAAATTGGAACAATGCAGAGGAGATTAGCATGGCCCCTGCACAAGGATGACATGCAAATTCATGAAGCATTCCATATTTAAAAAAAAAAAACTTGAAGAGCAAATATTCCCAATTTGGTTCATTTTTATAATATGTCTTCCACATATCTATATGTTGTTTAGTGGTCAGCCAGTGATTCAGTAACACCTGGAGCCAGTAAGGCCTCAGTCCTCTGCAGCTGGATCTGTGGGTATGTAGGAAAGGGCATTCAAAGTTCAGGCCATTTTAAAGTCACCCCTAACATTTACTTTCTGTCAGGCTCTTTTACATCACTTCTGTGCATGTGAACAACCAGAGTTGGCCAGGAGTATTTAGCCACCTTAGGCCCTCTTAGGTCCCCACTGCCACCAGTCTCAGCCACAGACATGACCAACCTCAGGTTGTAGTAGAGCCTTTGGCCTTTGCTGCTCACCTGCCTCTGAGACCATCGCTTCCACTGACATTATCAAAAGATCGGGGCATTGTGCACCACTCCAACTCAAGTAATTTCCTCTTTCATGGGGAAGCTGTTGGTTCTCACATCCTGCCTCTTCCTGGTAGAACCTCTGCTCTTACTGAGTGTGGGAGGTGATGAGAGCAGTCCCAGATCCCTGCTATTCTCATCCAGAGTTCAGCAGATGTACAAGCATAACTGCTTCCCAGATTGTTAAGTGTCTTTGATCAGTTTCCAGAGTACTGAAGGGATTGTTTCTGTCAAGTTTGTCCAGTTTTATAGTTGCTCTGGGTGAAGAAGATCTCCTCACTCTACTATAGCTGCAAGCTCCACCTTATACTCATTTTATGTTCAATTTCACTTTCTCTGCCTGACTTCTAAATTTGGAGGGCCCAGGACTCAAAAGCCGACGGGCTTCCCTGGGATTGGTAAAGAATCCAGTCCACTCAGTGGTAAAGAATTTTTACTTCGCCTGCCAATGCCGAAGACACTAGGTCAATCCCTGATCCAGGAAGATTCCACATCTGCAGAGCAACTGTGCCTGTGTGGCACAAGTAATGAGGTTGTGCTCTAGAGCCCGTGAACCCCAACTGCTGAGCCCACGAGATGGAACTGCTGAAGCCTGTGCACCCTAGAGCCCGGACTCTGCAACAAGAGAAGCCACTGCGATGAGAAGCCCGCACCCTCCGCAACTGGAGAAAAAGCCCGCACAGCAACAAAGACCCAGCACGGTCAAAATAAATAAATAAATAACTATTAAAGTCCCAAGAACTCTTTCCTTTTCTAGCTACGTTAGGCATCCTCTTCTAGTCCACCACTTTAAACATGATAAATACACTGATGATTCTCAATTTGTATCTCCAGCTCTGACCTTTCCCTTGAACTCCAGGCTTGCATCTCTAAGTAACTACTTGATATCTCTACCCATGTGTATGATAGACCACTCATGTTTAATATAGCTGAAGGAAAAGTCTTAATTTCCCCTCCAGCACTGTCTTCCTCCACTTCTCATCGACTTGTTTCTCAAATTCAAAACCTAGGAGTTACCCCTGACTCCTGTCCTATTTTACCCATGCCATCCAGTCAGAGAAATTGGATGTCATATCTACTTCCAGAACATAATTCCAAATCCATCCACTTTTCCTCATCTCTGCTGACAACCTGCCTGGTCCAGATTTCTGTCATCTGCTGCCTAGAAGACTGCAACAGCCTCCTCCCTGCTCTCCCTGCTTCCATTCCTATTCCCATACAGTCTGCTGACACAATGAACAGACTCATCTTTTCAAAACATAAGCTATATCTTGTCACCTCTCATCGCACTAAGAATAAAATCCATAGTTCAGACCATGGTTTATGAAGCCTATACTCTTCGGCATTATCTGGTGGGCCTCAAGCTGTCTCTCCCACTTTATTTCCTACCACTGTTCACTCATTCACCATATTGTATCCACAGTGTCCTTCTCTTCATTTCTTGCATATTCCAGGCTTATTCCTGCCTCAGAGACTTGATTATTTTATTGAAGTATAATTGATTTACAATATTGCATAAATTTCTGCTGTACAGCAAAGTGATTTTTTTCACATCATTTTCCATTATAGTTTATCATGGGGTATTAAATATAGTTCCCTGTGCTATACAGTAGGACCTTTTTGTTTAATTCATTCGACATATAGTGGTTTGCATCTCCTAATCCCAAACTCCCAAAATATCCCTCTCCCACTCCCTCCCCTTGGTAATGACAAGTCTCTTCTCTATGTCTGTGAGTCTGTCTCTGTTTCATAGATAGGTTCATTTGTGTCGTATTTTGAAATTCTGCATGTAAGTGATATATGGTATTTGTCTTTCTCTGTCTGACTTCACTTAGTATGATAATCTCTAGGTGCATCCATATTGCTGCAAATGACATTATTTCATTCTTTTTTTATGGCTGAGTAATACTCTATTGTATATAGGTGTCACATCTTCTTTATCCATTCATCTATTGATGAACATTTAGATTGTTTCCATTTCTTGGCTATTGTGAATAGTGCTACTATGAACATAGAGGTACATGTATCTTTTTGAATTATAGCTTTGTCTGGATATATACCCAGGAGTGGGATTGCTGGATCATATGGCAACTCTGTTTTTTCAGTTTTTTAAGGAACCTCCATGGTGTTTTCCATAGTGACTGTACCAATTTACGTTCCCACCAGCAGTGTAAGAGAGTCCCTTTTCTCCACACCCACATGTTATTTGTAGACTTTTTAATGAGGACCATTCTGGGTTATGCATTTTATTAGATATTGGGGATACAAAGTCATAAATGACATGGTCCTTACCCTGTTTAGTCTCTGGGAATCAGATTCTGAATATCTTGAGAGGGAACCCCATCTCCTTTAATAAAATAATCCAACATCCCTAGGCAAGGAGAGGATGACTGGACCTAACATTTTCCCCTTGTGGGCTTTGCATTCTGAGGAACCTCTCGCCCTCCCTTTAAAAAGCTCTCAGGGGCTTCCCTGGTGGCTTGGTGGTAAAGAATCCACCTGCCAATGCAGGAGACACGGGTTCAATCCCTGATCCAGGAAGATCCCACATGCCACACAGCAGCCGAGCCCATGTGCCACAACTATTGAGCCTGTGCTCTAGAGTCCAGGAGCCACAACTACTGAGTCCGTGTGCCGCAGCTGCTGAAGCCCATGCACCCTAGAGCTTGTGCTCCGCAACAAGAGAAGCCACTGCAATAAGAAGCCTTCGCACTGCAACAAGTAGCCCCTGCTTGCTGCAACTAGAGAAAGCCTGCACACAGCAGCAAAGACCCAGCACAGCCAAAGATAAATATATAAAAATTAAAAAGCTCTGGCCCAGATCTATTCATGGATCCACTTCCTTTTGTTTCTCTGAGGATGGGTGAGGCAGCCAAAGTCTTTCAGAAAAATTTACCAAACACTGTAGGAGAAAAATGGGGAAATAAATAAGGGACCCCAACAAGCAGAAATATAGCCAGACAACACCCCTTCTTCCCAAAAGGGCTATTACAAATAAGCTTTAGTTCTTGCGGGAGAAGTACTTTAAAAGCTCCCCACCAAGAAGTACCTTAAAAGTTCCCCAATAAGAAGTACCTTGAAAGACCCCCACCCAAAAGTTCCCTCCAGGAAATCTTGTCCACTTTTTGATCTAGAGTAGAAGATAAAAAAGATGGATTTTCCATCTCATCATGGTTTTCTAGACTTACCCCTGCCTCAGATTATCAATGTCATGATGACAGAAATGTCTGGAGTGAGATTTCACTCCCTCCTCAAAAAGTAAGGCCTTGTTTTTCAGGTGTGACAATTAAGCACAGGTTAAAACTGTGGTTTCCTACAGTGTGGAACTTACGTGACATGTTGAGTAATTTTAGATATTTCAAAATCAGATCAAGAACAGTAAGAGAATTATTTCCTTTTCAAGTCTTTCAATCCTTCCATTTCTACCTGAGAAGACATCTCAGTTGGTTGCTACCACGTCTTAACACCTCTCCTCCCAGTTGCCGCTCTATTAATGTTCCTTTTACGGAGCTCTGCAAGCTTCTCACACCAGTATCTAGCTGGAATTATTTTCTTTTTAATGTGTTCATTTTTATTGGTTTTTACTTAAGTTTGTAATTTAAAGACTCCTTTTTAAAAGAATTTAGTAAAGAAAGTTGGCCTACATAAAATTATAAAGTAAGTTACAGGTTCAGTGGCACAAGAATATAGCCTGAGTCATGAAAGCCCTCAGGGGAGGGGTGGCAGATTTAATAGTATGGCGTTCCATTATTCAGTGCCTGCATTTGAGGCAGCGTTCAAAGACAGTGCTATTGAGGCAGGTTTTTAACTCACACAGCTTTTATTTTCTTCTCTAGTGGAACACATGATCCAGAAGAACCAGTGTCTCTTCACCAACACCCAGTGTAAGGTTTGCTGCGCCTTGCTCATTTCTGAGTCTCAGAAGCTGGCACACTATCAGGTATGCCCTTGTACCTTAGTACTTTCTAGACCCAACGCCAAGCCTGCTCTTTTCTCTGCACAGTGAATTCCTCCTTAGCCACCCAGATGTTGCCTCCATGCATGTTGGCTTAATTTTTGACTGAGTCTTAATTTGATTGATTGTCTTAATTTGACTGATTGACTTAATTTTTCTGAGTCTCATTTCTCCATCCAAATCAAGATCATTGTACTTATATGTTCCCTTACAGCTTGGTATAGTAGAAAGTCTATGCTTTGGCTTTAAATAAACCTGTAGTCGAATCACAACTCTGCTACTCATCTTGGTCAAGAAACCTCATTATCTTCAGCCTCAGTTTCCTTATCTATAAGATTGAGATGATGATAATTTTCTCACAAATTTTTATGATTAGATTGGGCAGCATCTAAGTACCTTATAGAAAGTAGGAATTCAACAAACTATTTTTTCCCCCTACCCTCTCCTCAAAAGTTTCTGTGAGGATGAACCACTGAAAATCTAGTAGATATTTTTGAGTGCCTTAGGTATGAAATGGCATTTGGGTATCTTTGATTTTTTTCCTGGGTTCTTACAGAGCAAAAAACATGCGAACAAAGTGAAGAGATACCTAGCAATCCATGGAATGGAGACACTAAAGGGGGAAATGAAGAGGCTAGACTCAGATCAGGTAATCCAGCTGCCATGTTGAGACCACTCGCTTCCTGATGAAGCCAGCAGGCAGGTTGGTGTGGTGGAAAGAGTGTGGGCTTTGAGTCAGACTGACTTGGCTTCAAATCCCGGCCCTGTTGTGTGACTTGGTCAAGTCTTGATCCTTTCTGAGGCTTGATTTCTTCCTCTGTAATAATGAGGATGCTAATATCAACTACCCTTTAGGATTTTTCTAAACAAAAATGAAGGAAGGTTTATTAAAGCCCCCAACACAGAGCCTGGCACATAGTAGGGGCTCAGTAAATGGAGCCAATGTTATACATTACACCGAATGGTTTGTTAGAGTAGGACAGCTGTCCATGCCCTACTCAAGAAGAGAAAGCAGAAGGAAACCGGAATGCTTACTTTCTTGAGATCCAGTGGAAGGAACTGAGTTTAGCCCTTGAATATTGGGAATAAACAAGTAGAAGGAACACTTTTCCAAATTCTTGCTCTGATCAAGATGTAAACATGTTTGCTTTTGCCTTAGCAATACTGTGAGAATTATGCTGAAACAACCCCAATCCCTCAGGTGTACCATTATTTTTGTTCCATGGCAGGCTGTGCAAATATTATGGGATGAGAAGTCAGCAGACTAGGGCCAAATACTAGCTCTACAACTTACTGGTTGGGTGACCTTGGACAAGTTACTTAACCTCACTGTAGAGAGAATAGTTGCTACCTTGTAAGGGCATTGTGAAGTCAAATTACAATTCCTAATGGATGTTCAGTGAGTTAGAGTTTATATGACAAACTGTGCCTCCCTATCACAGTGGCCACAGGATTGGAAGGGCCTTGCTTATCCCTTCTCCACATTCACTGGACTAACCCCCTAGTTGCCCTCCTTATGATGTGGAATTCAGAAAGGCAAGATCAGCTCTGTGGCTCTGGGCAAGTCACTTCATCTCTTTATATCTCCAATCCCTCAACTCTCGGAGTGGTCCAGTAGTTCAAATGAGATCACAGACTCCTCCCCATCCAACAAAGAATGATTCAGCCCCAAATGTTAATAGTACCAAGGTTGAAAAATCCTATCTTATATGAATATTTTATTCAGAGAGCAGACCTGAAAGAGATCCTGGAAGCCCTTAATATAGGCTTGAAATACATCGTTTTCTAGCCCAGTCAGAATCATCAAATAAAATCCAATGGTCTGCTTGTTCAGTGAACCCTCAACATCTGCTGTGTGCCAGTCTCCACCAGGGTGCTAAGGATAGGAAACACAGATGAGTCTAACGGTCTTTGCCCAGACGTTGAACTTTAGTCCACAGGAAAGTCTCCTAAGCTATGACACTGTCAGTTTAGGGTGACACGTGGTATGATAGAGGTCTATTTAATGTATTCCAGGAGTATAGAGGAAGAATGAAGTTAATTCTTTCTGGAATAATCACACAAAGCAGGTTGATAATTCTTTACTGAGTAATTTTCTTGAGTAAAAGTCTCTCAGAAGAGGTGATAAATTTAATCTGGGCCTTGAAGGCTAAGCAGACATATGCCAGGCAGGAAAGAAAGGAGGATCATTCTAGGCAGTAGGAATGGCCCAAGTAAAACACGGAAGTAGCAGAGAACAAAACGGGGAATGGTGAGTAGCACATGGGATGAAGTCGCTCAGAAAGAATCCAGAAAGGTAGGTTGGGGTGAGTGTGTGAAGAGGGCCTTGAAGGCCCATTCTCCTACGGGCAGTGGGGAACCAGTGGAGATTTTCCGGCTGGGCAGTGGCGTGATCAGACCTGTGTTCTTTCTCCTAACCAGAAGAGCAGCAGAAGCAAAGACAAGAACCAGTGCTGCCCCATCTGTAACATGACCTTTTCCTCCCCTGTCGTGGCCCAGTCGCACTACCTGGGGAAGACCCACGCAAAGAACTTAAAGCTGAAGCAGCAATCCACTAAGGTGGAAGGTACTGGTTTTCCTGAGCGGTGCTATATCGGGACCCCTCCCGTCCTCAAGGCACCAATGCCAGGTGCTCCCAGAAATCTCGCTGGGGCCACAGACTGGAAGAGGTTGAACTGCTTTTGAGAGCCCTTAAAAATATCAGAGTAGACACAGCTTCATTGAAATGCAGTCTCAGAGTCATACTCACCTAACCTTCCTTTCTTTGGTTATATCAGTCTTTCTCTATAGAAGCTTCTTAGCCCTGAGCTTTTGTCCTGACAAATAATTATAACTCAGGAGTGCCCAAGTCCTCCAGGCTATGCACACCAGGAGAGCATTCTATCTCCTGCCTCTCTCAGTTAGATTTTTCCCTCCTAGCATCCACCTGCCCTTATTACCATGTATTCCAAGTTAAAAGTTAGATTCTTGTCTTTTTTGTGTGCTCAGGTTATGCCCTGTTCACTTTAATCCTCAAAGCTGCCTATTCTCGAGACAAGGACTTGCCTTTCAAAGCTAAATACTTCAGCACTGCCATTACTGCCCAACAAACAGTGTTCGCAACTGCCATGAATTCATTCCCAGTGCAGTGACTTCTAAAATAACCCCCTTTATCTTGTCACCACTGGGGCTCAGCTTTCACTTTCATCTCATTAACTGCTAACTTTTTAGGATTTTACATCTCTGCTAACTGCAGTTAGTCAAGACTGAAGCTTCTTTGATCTTTATTTCATTTTTTTCTAAGTAATTTTTCTTCTCTATTTTGGACCAAGAGGTAGACTATACTATTTGTAATACTTGTACTTTTTTGAATTGCTGTATTATGAAAACAAGATAATTATGTTTTAGAAGACTTTGAAGAATAGGGTAAAAAAAAAAATCACTCATAATTATACTGTCTTACCACACCCAAATCTAGTATTCTAGCAATGAAACAACAGATGAAGTCATGGATGCCCAAGTTTAAATCCTGGCACTGCTATTTACCATCTGTATGACTGACCTTCTTCATGCCTGAGTTTTCTCACCTATAAAATGTTGATAATATCACCTACTTCATAGGTTATGAGGATGAAATCATGTATATAAGGGCCCTGAGACATAAAGATGTTCAATAAATGACATTTTAGGATGTTTTGTTTTGTTTTGTTTTTGGGCCGTGCTGCACAGCTTGCAGGTCCTTCATTTCCCACATAGAGATTGAATCTGGGCCCCAGCAGTGACAGCGCCAAGTCCTAACCACTGGACTGCCAGAGAGTACCCAGCAGGTCCTATTGTCAGTATTATCAGCACAATCAAGATAGTGAGTGGAATCCCCACATAAAATGCAATGGTTGATCAGGCATTCACCACCCAGAGCATGTCATTGGCCTTGCTTCTGATTTGTTCATCATTAAGTTATACTAGTACTAGTTGCTTTTTTGTGAAGTCAGTGTAGGTACCATTTATGGTACCAAAAAGATTAAACATTAAGCCAAAGGAAACTAGCTTAAGAACAGAACTTTATAAGATCATTTATCTTTAGATTTATATGAACTTGTCTTTCCATAAATGGGAAAATTCCCTGGAATATTCCTGGTCCAAAGTTTCCATATTGAAGAGTTTATTTTTCATATTTACTTTTGGCCCTTGCCACATAACAGATGTGTTTTTATATAGTTATAATCATAGTTCATGTACCATTTGTATCCTGCTTTAACTTTTAATTTTGTAGTTAGAGCACATTTCCATGTTACACATGAGTTTATAACTATATTTCTGAAACTAAACACTTCTCTAATGTAAAAGTAATACAAGAATATTGTAGAAAGTATGGAAAATATAGATAAATGGAAAGAAAAATACCCATAATTTTTACCATTCAAAGACAACCACTGTTAACATTTTGGAGTACTGTTTCTCCTATAATCTTTTGTTATGTGTATGTGTGTATATCTGTGTCTATATTTGTTTTATGTATGTCTAGATTATGTATATAAATGTAAAATACTTTAACCTTATTGTTTTTATAAAAACAATGCATACTCCTCATTGTTACTTCTAGTTCAAACAGTGCAAAAGGTACAAAGAGAAGAGTAAATACCACCCAAATCCTACCACCAAGAGAGAAACACTGTTAATATGTTGGCAGCATTTCAAAATAGCAGTACACATATACAGATTGCACATATGTCTTTTAGTAATGATATCATATTGTGTATATAATTTTCTTTTATACTCTTTTCGCTAATAGAACATTTGTATTTCTCCATGTTATTAAAAAGTTTTTCATAAACATTTTTAATGACAATATCCCATTGCACCACATTCATTTAACCATCCTCTAATGATGAATATTTATGTTTTCTCCCTCTCCTTTGTTGGTATTTATAAATAACACTACAGTGAACAGTCCTGTAGAATTCTCTTTCTATATTTCAAGTTGTTTCCTGAAAGAAGACTCCCATAGCCCTCATTTTTATTGGATGTCCATTAAATGGTTCCTCCAACTTTAATTAACCATTCACCTCTGATGTTCTCTTTAGTATCTTTTAAAGAATGACCTTTATGTTTTAATGACTGATTATCTCTTCTGATATCAAAAATCTACATTCACTCTAGAAAAGGTGGAAAATACTGAGAAGTATCTTTTTACACAATGCTCTTGGTGTTTCTCTGCACATTACCAGTTGTTTTACAGAACTAAGGACAAAAGAAATAGTTTACTATGTAACCTGCTTTTTTTTTTCACTCAACACCACATACTGTATATTTTTTCTTTTATTGAATATTCTGCAACATGTACATTACTTTTCCAGTGACTTGTTGAAATAATGACTAAGGAAAATTATAGCCAGGGGAATTAAGAGTCTCTGTACTGGAAAACCATTGTAGGAAAAGCCAGCAACTTTCTTCTGGCTTGTTGAAAATCCTCAAAACTTCCCCCATTGAAGTGGAAGAGATGAAAGAGCATCTGCATGTGTGAGTGCTGCTGAACCCCACCCCTCCTCCACCATTGGTGGGGGTTCTAGGCCACATTCTTAAAGCAGTGGTTACTGGATTGATACCATTCCAGCCATGTGGGCTCATTAGTGAGCCATGACATCCACTTTTTAAAGCAGCAGTGCAGCCTATAGTCAGGACATTTGTTGGCCCACAGGAGGCTCACACATATGTCCATACCAGGCTCTGATTAACTGAATTCATAGACCCGAGCCAGGGGTGTTTTCTGTAGGTAAACACATGGGCTGTAGCCTTCTTGTCTCCCTGCCACACTCTGGCAGCCTGGCATAGCAAAGAGGTCATGGTCTTTAGGATCATACAGACCTGGATTCACTCATTAACTGAGTGATCTTGGGTAAGTCATTTCCCCCTTCTAAGCCTCGGTTTTTCTCTGTATCATGGCAAGATGATACCTACTGCAGAGCATAATTCTGAGGACCAGAAGAGAAAATATATATACAAAGCTCGTAACTAAATGTCAGTGTCATTCTCCTCTCCCCTACTCAGCCTAGAAGGCAGTGTAGCTTAAAAGGCCCCCTTAGTGTGGTGCCTTTTCTAAATGACCCTCTAGACCCTCAGAATGTACATCTGTGCATTGGCTTCCAGATCTATAACTGGGGTACTTTAAGGATAGGAATAAAACACCCACATTTCTTGTTCTATGTGGTGTGACATTCTGGGGAGTTCTGAGGGATAAAAAGACTGCAAGCATGTACATCTCTCATCTATTTTAATTTGGCAGATGGGTAGCAGAAGTGCAGAACCTCCTTGGAATATGAGAAAATAGAGATTCATGTGCCTAAAGTAGTTTAAGCTGCCAAACAAAGGAGCCAGTCTTTGGGTTCCCCCGTATCTTCTCAATTAGAGAAGATTTTCACTGTGTGATTCACACAGGCAGTGCCCCATATGCAAGTGTGATTAACTAGTGACCCAGCCTTTCTTTGCATTCAGCATACATGAAAGCCTGGCACCTTCTGGGTTTTTTCATTGTTTCTGTTTGAACTTTCTCACCACAGCTCTGTCGAAACGCCTTACAAACCCTTTCCTTATGGCCTCCACCTTAGCCTTGCACCAGAATAGAGAGATGATAGACCCAGACAAGTTCTGCAGCCTCTGCCACGCGACTTTCAATGACCCTGTCATGGCTCAGCAACATTATGTGGGCAAGAAACACAGGAAACAGGAGACCAAACTCAAGCTTATGGCACACTACGGACGGCTGGCTGACCCTGCTGTCACTGACTCATCAGGTAAGGGCCTAGCTCACACCCAGAGCTGATTCAGGGCTTGACTGCTAGAGCTCCCTGGACCATCAAAGGCATGCCTTTCCTCTTTAGGTCTTCTGAAGCAAGCATTGCAAATTCAAATGCTTGCAAAAGCTAGATGGGAAATTTTGATAAGTGAAAAAGCCAGGAAGGGGTATAGTCAGCTGAAGAGTTCGTGCCTCTCCTAGGCAGTGCTAAACATTTGTTACCGTATCTTTCAGTTTTTCGAAAGACTCTGGAAGCCAGATTTACAGCTGACCCTCTTTTGCTCTAGTCCCTGCCTCTCCTTTACTTGGTCCTGCCTGGCCATTCCCTCTTTGTCTCTTTTATTGGCAGGATTCAGGCACTGCAGTGTTTCAGGCCGCTTATCTTAACTTGTATCCATTCTTTTCTTTATCTCAAGCCAAAGCCTTCTCCTTGTATTCACCCTCCTCCATTTGTCTAAGGCTAAATTACCATGTTTAATCCTAGAACTGTATCCTAGATATTTTTTTCATGCCTAAATCATCTGATTTCTTTACAGATCAACTAAATTTTTTCATGAAAACCTAGGTGGGGGGAAAGGATATCACATCCCACTTTGATATTAATGTATACAGCATAATTTGATTCCCACAGCATTTCTATAAAATGTGATTTTCCCAATTTACAAATAAAGAAGATGAAATTCAGAGTGACATGCTCAGGTCTTACAGCTGATATGACCTGATATTAATAAATGACAGCATCAGTTGGGGTCTCTAGCTCTGTCTGATTCCAAAACTTAAGCTCCTTCCCCCTGCCTCCAGCTTTGAGTGTACTTGGCTGGAGGCGCTCCAAGTACAGGGTTTCAGCAGAAACATCGAACTGACTCTGACCCCCTTCTTACTTACAGAGGTGGGGTGTTGACCTAGGATGTGCAAGCAGGGACTTCCACTGACAAGACTTCTGCCTTCCTAAACGATTTAGGTTGTTAGCAGCTTGGCTTTTTTTCCCTGCTGGCTTCAGTTCACCCTTGTTCATTCATTCTTTCAGACAGTCATCCTGCACTTACCAATAGCTGCCATAGTCTAGGCCGTAGGCTAGATGCCCTCACATGTAATTACCTGATTTAATCCTCACAGCAACTGTGTTGTGCACATTTGATTATTCCCATTTTACAAATGAGGACATTAACATCAGAAAGATGAAATGGTTTGTTCTGGTTCCCATGCTAGACTGTGGCAGCCAACACTGAAATCCAGGTAAGATTCTGTGTTAGGTCCACAGAATAGTTTCCATGGGGTTTCTGGCGTGTATCATGACAAGTATGGGTCAAATGTGAGATGACCCAGAGTGTCCAGATGTCTCCCACCAGGGTGAGATGTAGCATCTACCAAGCAGATTAAACAAGACTTGGAGTTTGCTTTGTACTCCAGGCCCACATTTCTCTCATTTACTCAAGAATGCCAAACTAAGCCCTCGTATCATTCAGGTAGCCAAATCCTTCCAGTCACTGGAGCTCTCAACATCCCTTCTGGGTTACTGGAATCCTCTTTTTCTGTACCCCCCATCACCTTCGCTCCCTTCTTTAGGGCCTTGCCTCCTGCACAGATCAGGTCTGCTTTCTCTGCCCCGTTCTGATCCCCTAGTTGGCAGGATTCAACCTCTGTACATGGGACAGGCTTTCAGGTCTATTCATTTCATATAAAGTCAAGAAACGTTTGTTGAGCTCCTTCCTAATATACACCATGCATTGTGTATATAACATATATTAATTACATGTCCATGTTCTTACAGAGCTTAGAGTCTAGCGGAGCAGACAGGCATTGAGCAATTAACTACAAGTGTGGCAAGCTTTAGTAAAAGAAACAAATGGTATGCTATGAAGATAACTTAAGATGAAGGAGCAAGGTACAAAGGCTCCCAGAAGCAAAAGGGATAGTGTGAGGCAACATGATGCTGGGGAGATGAGCTGGTGTCCAATCATGGCATTGTAGGTCATGTTTGAGATTTGAGCCTTTATCCTAAGAGCATTGGGAAGCCATTCACATCTTCAGCATTATTAATTAGAGCATTCTAGTTACAAAGTGGAGAATGGTTTAGAATGAGGAGGAAGGGTAGTGGAGAGAGACAAACAGTGAGGCTGTTGCAATAATTCTTAGTGGAGAATATGGGAGCTTGGACTAAGGTAGCATTGGTAGAGATAGTCAGGAGTAAATGGATTCAGGAGGTAGGTAGGAAGTAGAATTGGCCATCCAATGTGGGAGCTAAAGGAAAGCAAGCAGTCAAGGTTTAGCCTTAAGCCACAAGGTGAATAACCAGGTTTTGGCAGCCTGAGTTTAAGATACCCGTGAGATATCCAAATAAGAATGTCCAAGAGGCAGTTGGATATATAGGTGTAGATCTAAAAGAAAGGTCTCGGTTAGAGATACCACCATTTTGCTGGTTAGAAAATGCTAAATATTGGTTGTTTCATATGTTTGAAGCTAATAAGTGGTACTTGAAATCAGGGAAATGAATGAGATCCCTTAGAGAGTTTGGAGAGAAAGGAGCAAAGGGCCTAAGATTGAGCCCTCTGAAAATTCTGATATGCTATAAACATGGATGAACCTTGAGGATATTATGCACAGTGAAATAAATCAGTCACAAAAAGACAGTTCCTATATGATTTCACTTGTACGAAATATCTAGAGTAGTCAAACTCATAGAAACAGAAAGTAGAATATGGTTGCCAGGGATTAGGAGAAGAGAAAGATGGAGAGTTTAATGGGTGTAGATTGGCAATTTCATAAAAATGACAAAAGTTCTGCACAGTAATGTGAATTACTTAACATGATGAAAACACAAATTTTTCTAACCCAGAACTGTCCTTTAACATTAACTGAATTGGACACTTAAAATAGATTGGATGGTAAACTTTCTGTTATTTGTATTTTACCACAATTTAAAATAGTAAAAGAAGAAAGAAAGAAAACCAAGTTGAAACCTCTGAAACCGGCAATAGTAAATGGTGGAGGTCAAACAAGAGACAGCGAAAGTAACTGAGAAGGACCAGCAAAGGAAAGTCGAGTGTGGCATGCCGAAAGCAAGGGCAGGAGACGGTGGAGGGGGCTCACCCATGCTGTCCGGCGCTGTTGAGAAGCCAAATACTAAAAGGTTGCATAAGCATCCATTTTGTCCATTAAGTTTAGATACAGGGAAGCCTCCATTGGCCTCAGAAAGAGAGTGTATGTGTGTAGGGGGATAGGTTGCAGAATAATTGAGAGACAAGGAAATGGAGAAGCAGTTGTAAACAGGGCTTTCAAAGTCTTGGCAGTAAAAGGGAGGAGATACAGGTGCTTTTCCAAATAAATCAAATGTTTTAAAATGAGCTCTAGTGATTTATTCTTCATAAAATCACAGGGGGAAACCAGAATATCAAACAAGTCAAATGAAAACCAGATAAAAATGGATGAGTCTGGGTACTGAACAAAGCTGTTTTTTAGAAGCACCAATGAATTCTTCACTTACCCCAAGTGATGATTTGAATCTAGCTTACAGATCAGTATACTCTGCAGTGAGATGTACTTTGCATAGGAAAGTCCAGAGACCTGTGGTACAGAGGAAAGGATGGGGGCTGCACAGACCAGAGGGCAAATCCAGCTCTGATCCTAGGTCACTTAACCTCCCTGAGCTTGCTTTCTGCTCTGATAAATGGAGAACACCACCTACCTATCTTCCAGCATTATTATAAGAATCCAAGGGTATAAGTATCCAAAATTTTGTCTTGGCGCTTGGTGTTTAATAGATGATGAGTGAGCTGTTGTAGTCTGGGCATCAGTGACTCTTAACCACTGGTGGTCGTTACCCCCACACCAGCCCCCAGCTCCACCCTGGGCCTTGCAGGGATGGTGGTTCTGCTAGTCCGTTATGAGTCTTTTGCCTGTTCGTGTTGAACATGAATTCTGGCCTTCAGTGTCTAAAAAAGACCTGAATTCTGATTGCAATAATTTTCCCCTTAAATGCTTTAAAAGGATATGTCTTCCAGGAAATACCTGAAGATACAAGAGAAACAAAGGTAGCTGGGAACATTGGCTAGCTTATTGAATTAGAGGAGATTGTTGGTGTTCCCAGCTCTTTTGGAAGGCTGGTTAAAAGATACTCTCCACTTTTTTGCCAGCATCACTCATGGAACATATAAGAGTGAAATACAAATAAGCCAAAACCTCATACTTGCTGGACACTTACTATGTGTCAGTTACTTTTATTTGAATGATTACAATAACCTTATAAGGTTGATACTAATATTAACTGCATTTTATAGGTAGGAAACCTAAGTCTCAGGGAAGCCCCACTTGTACACATCTCAGAGAGATTAAGTACCTAGCCTGTGATCCTACAGATGAGAAATGATGGAGCTGGGGTTTGAACCTTGGTGATCTCACTCCAGAGCGTGAGATTTTAGGACGGCAGATGACAAAAGGTGTGTCAAAGGGCTCGTGAAGTCATGTGCACAGTGGCCTGCCTTGTGCAGCTGGCACCAGGCATGCTGGGCAAGTAGAGCCTCGTAGTCAGCCACTCCTGTTTGCCATTCACTAACTGTGTTCGTGGACATGTGACCATGCCTTATTTTCTTCCTCTGTAAGAGAAGGATGGTTTTCATAGGATCCTTATGAGCATCAATCAAAATAATATGAAGTGCATGACTATATCAGGCCCTTAGTAAATAATAACTGCTTTTTATTGTAAGTATTATGGGTATGGTATAATTGGTTTATAGTTGAGAAAAGCTGAGGATCAGAAAGGCAAAGGGATTTAGCCAAGGTCACGTGAATGCAGAGCCAGGAGTCCAGCCCTATTTCTTGGCTCCTGACCCATGCTCTCTCTACTAGACCATGTGAGGAAAGGCCACTTTGTCATTGGAGCAGCCCTGTTAGTGAGAAAGGGTATCTGTGAGCCCCACAGTAGAGAGAAAGATTAATTTTCCTTATAGGCCTTCTCATTAATTACTGTTATTGCAAGCCCAAGGAGAGGGCTGCCTTCCCAGAGATCTCTCATCTAAGGGCACAGTCAAAGTGGAAAAGACAGTTACACCAAATGTCACCTCTTTGTTCTATCAATCATTTATTTCCTCAGCAGATAGCTACTCTGGACCAGGCTCCATGCTGGGACTAAGGGTACAGGACACGGGGCGGACAAGGAGGTTCTCAGCTCCAGGGAACATACAGGCATACATGTGCCCCTGATCATTGAGGCCTCTGGGATTCTTACCAGGACCAACAACCTAAGCTCCCTCCACTCTACCATCTTCAGAAGAGCATTTGCACGTGCTGTCAAAAGCACAGAGTCCCTAGGTCCCTTCTTATTGGATTACTAAGCATCTTGACTTTTACGTGTGTTTCAGCCGGGAAGGGCTACCCCTGCAAGACATGCAAGATAGTGCTGAACTCCATAGAACAGTACCAAGCTCATGTCAGCGGCTTCAAACACAAGAACCAGTAAGTAATCACACTTTGAAATTCATGGGTCTGCAGCAGGAGCTCAGGGCTTCCAAATCAGAACAAAGCCAGGTATTCCTTGGCTTAAAAGGAATCCTGGCAGTCTTCTTTTTAGTTAGCAGAAGCTCCATCAGTCAACAGAAGTATCCCCTATGTGAGTTCTCCTGTCAGCTTCTCCCCAGCCTTTAGATCTGTTGAGCTGAAGGTTTTAGTAGAAAAACATAAATGATTCCCTTAGTGGTCTCCTAAATTTTTTGGCAACATGTTAACAGTCGAACTGGGAACACTCCCCAACCCCAACCCACCACTGGCTTGAAGACCCTAGTCTTCACTGCCATTAGTTCTGTGGCAAGAGCTCCCTCTACAGGTTATTACCAAATATGACCAAGTCCTGTCCTTGATCAAATACTGTACACCTCTGAGTGGTAGCCCAGACAGACTCAGTCTGACAGACTCAGTCCCTGCTCTGATAACCTAACATTCTGATGGGAGGAGACAAAAACAATGACCATGCAAACCACCAGTAATTACAAATGGTGATAAGGGAAGAGACTTAAAGGGAAGAGTTGTCTGTTTGTAATAATCTTGAAAATGACTCACATTCTTTGGTAGAGCTCCTGGTCTGTTGCAGGCCATATGCCAAGCAGATTCTCTCAGGTAATCCTCACAATAGTCCTGGGAGGAAAGGGTTATTATTCTGATTTACAGACACAGGCGACCACCACTCAGAGTGGTGTTACGAGGCAGAGCTACTGTTCACACTGAGGCTTGGCAGGCTCACAGCATGCTCCTCCGGGGCAGTGCTGACCAGGGGGTTGTGGCACCATGAGATATGAACAGGCCAGGTCCGGCTGGGAGGGCTCAGATGGTTCAGTCCTTGCTTCTCAGGGTAGTGTGGACGGTGTGCCACACATAACCTTCAGAGATAGGAACTATCCCTGTTTTACAGATGAGGAAACAGTTTCAGGCAGATCTGCTGAGATGACTGCTTTGACTTTGGTGACTGGCTCTGCATTGCTTACAGGGCCAAGTGAATTAAAGGTGGTAGAAATGCAGAGTATTAGGCTCAAAACGTTCTTGGTCCTCTTCTTGGTCCTCTCTACTCTGCCTGAAGTCTCCTCTCCCACACTGTGGCTTTATTGATAGATACATCTTTAACTGGGAGAACTCGTGAGGCTCCCCTTAGATATGGATTCAAGGCAAGCCCTCGCAACTTGGCTTGCGTCTCACTTTCAGCATTGCAGCTTAGCTGGTGGCAATTTTGGCAAACAACTTGGAACCAGTCAGAACCCTACCGTGGGGCTACCCAGACTTGAAAATGCTAGTGTTGTTTACTATTTTCTTCTTACACTTTCCAGCTGTATGACCTTAGGTGAGTCAATAAACCTCTTTGAGCCTCCAGTTTCTTTTCTATAAGATTATGGTACAAAAAACAAAGATTATAGTACAATTTCTTGAACACATAATTCAGTCTCATTTAATTTGCAACAGCATCTCTGAATCAGGACTCCCACCCTTTGCAACCCAAGGAAACCTAATATCAGATAGATTAAGTAACTTGCCATAGATCTCATGGTTACTTGGAGTTAGACCCAGTATTCAAACCTCTGACTCCAAGCCCATTCATTTTGCTCTGCTATTTCCAAATGGAGCTCTTCTTCCTCACCTTATGGGATGAAGTAAATGTTAGAGATAATATATGTGAAGTCCTAGTCCTGATAAGAGGAGCTGTTAGAGATAAGCTTTCATTCATTCACCAATGATTTATTGTGCACCTATTATGTGTCAAACCCTGTTTTGAGCACCAGGGCTATGGTAGGAACCAAGACCAATGCTTTTCTCTGATCCTTTTGATCCCTCTCTGATGGTAGAAAGAGATCCTAAACAAATCCAAAACAAATCAGACAGTATCAGGTGATACTAGTGAGGTCATGACTGGAGAGCCACTTGATTCCATGTGCTGGGGAGAATGGTCTTCCTGTCCCATCCAGGTCATGTAGGGGCCCATAGGCAGAAAAAGTGGTTCAGTATAGAGGAAACACATGGGCTTCAGTCCTGAATCTACCACACTTTAAAACAGCTTATTGTGGGCAGGTCACTTATACTTTCTGAACTTTAGTTTCCTTTTATATAAAATGGGGGTGCTGGTCCCCCTGCCTGGCAAAATTAGCATGAGAACGAAACAGGATACTGAAAACAGAACACCCGGCCTTGTGCCTGGCATGCAGTGGCCCTCAGTAAAGAAGAGCTGCCCTGCTTATTACTCCACACCCTGAAAGAGCTGTACTGTCATTAGAATAAGCTACCTGGGATACCATCACAACCACCACAAACTAACCCTATGCCTTTGTTCCTTCTCAAATCACAGGTCACCAAAAACAGTGGCATCACCTCTGGGCCAGATTCCCGTGCAAAGGCAACCCATTCAGAAAGACTCAACCACCTTGGAAAACTAAAGGTGTTTCTGTCCAGCAACCCAGGTTGAACCAGCCATGAGCCAGCTTCCTGTTACTATGGTCAGCCCTTGGCTCCCTCTTCCTCCTTTCTTACACCTGGAGAATACACAGGCCTAAGGCAGGAGTAGACCATAGACAGCCTCTGATTGGCCCAGGCAAATCTACTTCTCCTCCTCCCCTTTGGAATCGGCCTTGTAGGTCAGGGTAAGGGAAGCAGAGATGTTGACAGGACTTGGGATTTCCCAGGGTGGTAATTTGGAGGATGACCTTTCCCCTTTGTCAGCCCCTCCAGGCTGTATGTCATGAGACCCCAGGCCTGTCTTTCCACTAGAGGTCACTTTTGGACCACTCCCTGCAGTTAAAGAACAGAGGTCTCCCTAAGCGCTAGGCATCTCCAGTGAAACCCGAAATTTTCACTCCAGGCCTTGGCCTGGGTAGGAAAGGACAGATGGAAGTGGCTGCCACACGGAGGCTTGGAGTTCATGTGACACTTCCCGCCCCCCAAAGAGCGTGAGCTTTCTTGAGCCTAGTACCCAATGCTGGCCAGTTGTCCAGATTGCTGCCCACTGTGAAGTCTCCTCCTGGAGCAGTGACACAGTCCTGGCAGAGCACTGCTATCCCTCTTTCCCCTTCTCCACAGTTCCTGAATGGTGCTAAGGACCTGCAGCAACTGGGGACAAGCTAGAGCCGAAGGAGGCCTCAGTGCCCAGTGGGATCACAGAAAATGCCAACAGAGGCCTTTCCCCTCCTCCATCAGAGGTGCTCTGGCACAGGGTCATGTGGGAAGGTCCCCACGTAAAAATTTTCCTGGGTGGCTCTCTCCCTTTAAAGGAAAACTGCCCTCACGCCAGCCGGCTCCGAGGTTGACCGCTGTCCTTCGGCCCTACTGGTCCTCTTGTTCCCCTTGCGCAGTGGACCATCCTCCCAGGCTGCTGTGGTGCTAGTCCTCCCCCATCGTCCACTAGGAGATTCTGGAGACCAAGGAGCAAGATGGGCCCTTAGAGGAATAGAAGAGAGAGCTGGTGTAAGCTTCTGCAGTGAGGAAACAGCTATGTCCCCGACCCCAAATGTAGGTTTCTACAACACTGCTGTGCTTTATGGCCTGGGACTTCACTGGGAGTGGACTTTACCTCATAGCTTTCAAACAGGAGTTCCATGGAGGGTCACCTTCTGGGTCCCTTCTCACTGGGTCAGAGAAGTCCACAGCTGCTCTCGTGGGCTCCTCCCTCCACTCCCTGTCCCTTCGCCTGTAAATGCCTTTGTGTATTGTGTGTGTGTGTGTGTGTGTGTGTGCGCGCGCGCGCGCGTGCGTGCTTATGCTCTATCTTTTGGTCACTGAAGCATCTAAATAAAGAATTTCTCCCATAAGCCAGACTGCAACTCAACAGATTTGAGATTTGAATCGTCTATCATGTGTATCTTTACCCTTTGCTCTGTCCCTGGTCAGACTTCAGCACCCTAAGTAGTGATTTTAGGAGCTGGGACAGAAACAGATACCCAAATTGCTTGGCAGCTCTGTAGAAGTCCTACAGAGTCCAGGTGCCCTAAATTCAATACAAGCTTATCTGCTCCTCTACCTCCCCCTATCCTGGAGGGCCTCACCGAGGTCTCTAGAAGGTTTAAGCTGGGAGTCTACTTTGTCTGAGATGATCGTGTGGCTGCTATGTGAGAAGGAATTCAGGGGAGCAGGAAAGGAGATGTACAGGGAGGCCAAAATGGACGTGGTGTCCAGTTTGACTCTCTCCAGGCTAGCTCCTTCAGGGCAGAGACCTAGTGTCATTCATCTCCATTCCTCTGATAGACTGAGTGGTTGGTTTGTCATGCAGTGTTTGTTGAATGAAAGAATGAATGAATGAGGACGCATAAGAAGAGATGGGCTTTTCCTGCTCAGCTCATTCATAGCAGCAGGCTGGTTCCATGGAACTTGTGATTCATGGGAAAACCTTCTCCATGACCCAGAAGTGAGCTGGGAAAGGAGGGTATGCAATGACTTCAGAAGCCTTTTTTGCTTCAGACAGCCAGATCTGAGCAAGGTGCCCAGGCTGCCTGAACTCCTATTCTTCACTCAGCAAACTATTCTTGGGAACCTGCTCTTCACCAACTGGGAAAGGCCCTACACAGCTCTCAGCTTCCAAAGCCTAGACTGCTTTAGCAGTTTTCCCAGAGTCCTTCTACCCCAAGCAAGATGTCATGATCAGCCCCACCTACCAGGCAAAGAAGCAAAGGGCAGAGAGGTGAGTGAGCTGCCCAGAGTATGAGCCCTTGGCCTGCAGGATCTCTTAGTCAGGATTCAAGAGTCCTACGAGCTGTGTGCCCAGCCCTATTGGCCTGGGGATGCAGGAATGAAAATTCTCTTAGAGCCCTTGGGTAGCTCAAACAGTCAAAGACCATTATGGTGATAGAGGGTTAAGCATGCTCTGGGAATGCACAAAGATGCAGGCACTAACTCAGCCAAGGATATGAAAACACTGAAGAAACTGTGAAACTAGCATTTGATCTCTATAACAACCTTTTGAGCTAGGAGATGATACTCCATTTTATAGAAAAATAACAAGGTTCAAAAAGGTATAGCGATTTGCCTAAGGTCCCACTGCTAAGAGCAAAATGGAGTGTAGAATCTGGTTCTCTAGATTCCTTGTCTTTACAAACAAGGACCAAAGTACTTCCCCCATGACCCCTGGGCCTGCCTCACTCATCTGGCAGGGCCACGGTCTCACAGAGTGAGTAGCCACTCGGCAGGAGCGGCAGCGGCACCATCAAAATGAGATTGGACAAGGCTCTATGGTTATTTTATAATCCCAGCCCCTTTCCCTTCTCATAATTTTACCCAAGATTCCTGGTGTATTAGACTCTAGTTGTAACTGTAAGAAACTTAAAGTGATTATCTAAAAGAAGAAATTTATTGATTCTCCAGATGAAACAACCTTGTACAGGGATGGCTAGATTCAGGTTCTGACACAGTCATCTCACTGGGTTGCCCTGTGTGGCCTCTTTCCTGGGCGGACTTTCTCCAGAAGGTGGAGACAGCCTCTGGCAGCTTCAGGTTTATATCCTAATAGGTTGGTAACTGCAATGGAAAGAACATCTTTTTCTTGGTACCAGTAAAAAATGCTGGGATTGACTCATTAGCCCATCTGGATCTGTTCCCATCCCTAAACCAGTCGCTGCAGCTAGGAAAAATGGTCCTCTGGGCACCTGGAAAGGAGTGAGTCCCACCTACAACACACTGACCGAAAGAGGGAGAGATGTGCTTGCGTCAAAGAAGAAAGTGCAGAGCTCCCTCCATCCCAAGGGAGAAGAGTGGATGTGAAGGGCAAAAATAACTGTTGTTGTCAGCCATATTCAGAGATTATCTTTGCTTGATCATGCTTTTCTAACGTTTTGAGATACAGCATACATTCAATAATGTGAGACAAATTTTTTAGAGTACAGTTTGATGAGGATAGTGTATCCATATGGTCAGTCGGCCTCCAGATCAAGATAGAAAACATCACCAGTCCCCAGAGGCTGGCCTTGTTTCCCTTCTTAGTCAGTATCCCACAGAAGCAAACACTATCTTGACCTGTCTCACCGTAGATTTGTTTTGCTTGCCCTTCAATTTTATAAAAAAGGATTCATCCATGTATCCACTTGTGTTCAATATTATGTATATGAGATTCATCCATGTTATTGTGTGTATCAGAAGTTCATTAAAAAAAAAGTTTACTTCCTGCTGTATAGTAGTCCATTATATGAATATACCATAGTTTACCCATTCTACTGCTAATGGACAATTGGGTTTCTAGTTTTGAACTATTGTAAATAAAGCCACTATAAAAAATTTTTGTTATGTGTCATTTGATACGCACATGCGTGCATACACTCGGGAGTAGAATTGCTGCATCATAGGGTAGGTGCATGTTTAGCTGGACTAGATAATGCTAAATGCTTTCCAGAGTGGTTCTACCAACTTACATTCCCACCTGCAGTGAAGAGTTCCTGCTCCACATCCTTGTCAGCACTTGGTATTGTTCATCTTTCTAATTGACCATTCTGATGGCATCCAGGAATTTGAACCCAAGAGTCTTATCTTTTCATCAATGATCCTCTTACTCTGAGCACCCCTGAGATCAGGTTTGAATTTCTGTAGCCTGGAATATTCTCCAGTGTGGCCCAGGACCCACAATACACAGCCCAGCAGATAAATTAGAGGGAGCTCCTGCCCATGACTCTGCTGGCCAAGGAAGTTCTCATGGAAGAAGCAGTATCAGCCCTGGAGAGGCAGCCTAGTGAAGCAACAAAGAACTCGGGCTCTGGGACTTCCCTGGAGGTCCCATGGTTAAGATTTCGCTTCCACTGCAGGGGGCACGGATTTGATCCCTGGTTAGGTAAGATCCTGCATGCCACATAACGCAGCAAAGGGGAAACAAAAAAACAAAAGTACCTACTAAGAATAGAGCTCAGGCTCCAGAATGGGTAAAATGTTAGTACTCACTTTATAGGGTCATTTAAAAGAATATATGTGTGCTAAGTCACTTCAGTCGTGTATGACTCTTTGTGACCCTATGGATCGTAGCCTGCCAGGTTACTCTGTACATGGGGTTCTCCAGGCAAGAATACTGGAGTGGGTTGTCATTCCCTTTTCCAGGGGATCTTCCCAATCTAGGGATCGAACCCAAGTCTCTTGAGTCTCCTGCATTGGCAGGCAGGTTGTTTATCACTAATGCCACCTGGAAAGCCCAAAAGAAAAGATACATATGAAAAAATTACAATGATTGACACATGATAGATGCTATGTGAATGATGACTACTGTTTCTATCATTGGCCAGAATTAAGCTCTGGGTCTCCCTGGGGAGGAAAGTCTATACGCAGATGGCATCTGGCTCAGCCCCGTGTATTAAGACTCAGTGATTTATGAAATGTCAGAAACCTATTTCAATCTGATTGAGGAAAGAAAAAGAGACAACATTCTGGCCAAAGATGATTCTCCCCTGGGCTCTAGCAAGAAGTCATTTTCCACTGATATGGAACCTCAACCTATTGCTACACCTCAAGCCCTACAGTCAATGACATCTGAAGAGAAGATAAAATGGAATCATGCAGGTAAAGCCCTTAGCTCAGAACTGGATGCACCAACCACTCAGTGCAGACATAGGGCTGTGTATGTGCCAGTAGCTATATGATTCTGGATCTCTGGGCATTGGTCTGAGCCCTACCACCAGCTTCATGTGACCTGAGGCCTTGATATTTTCTTGTGAAGTAGAAATTAGAAGAAATCATAGTTCTCAGCCAGAGTTCTAAAGAGGTAGTTACGGGCAGGGATTCTTCCAAGAAACAGTAAAAAAGAAAGCCCTTCCCTTACAACAGCCCCCGTCAGATGAGCTGTTCCAACCCCTAACCAGGCCTTCTGATGGGCAGCCAATAGTGTCAAAGAGGAAAAACAACTTCTCCCTCTCACCATCTGTCCACCTAATGACCTCACCTACTCTGCTTTGTGTCAAGCCCACATTACAGACGGGGCAGACGCAACCCTGCTCTAGCACTCCCAAGCTTGCTGTTCTCCACAAATGCTGCTTCCATCCATCCAGGAGCTTCAAAACCGGCAAGAAATCTTACGGTTCTGTAAAAAGGTCAACTCTGTAGTGCAATGACCCCACTGGCCACTAGGTGGAGAAAGCTCCCTTTTTTTGCTGGACAAAGCAGACCAGTCTCAGGACCTTAGTCTGATTTAATGCCAAAGAGAAGAGAATGACTTTTTCTGAGCCCCTGTATTTGATATTTCATTTAACCCTCAAGACAATTTGAAAAGGTTCATTTTAACAGGAGAAATACAGAGCAAACTCTTGCAAAGCTTACACAACTAAGACATAGTGTGTAGAGATATGACCCCCATGATCCCAAGTTTCAGCACAACTTACCAGGTGTCCCTCGGGGGATAACTCTGAGGGTTGTAATTTAGTCACTTGCCTGGGGGTACACCTGATGTCTAGCCTCTCATCAGCCTTTTTTAAAAAACTCTCTTCACTTGAGTGATATCTCTGCTCCATTCTTTAGACCCTGTGGTTCTGAGGTTCCAGGGGTGAACCTGTGACCTAAACATGGGCAATCAGAATCATAAGTCTGGAGCTGTCAGCAGTCATCTTTGCCAATATATAAGGATAGTCTGCCTGATAATTAAGCCAACATAGGGCTTCCCTGGTGGCTCAGACGGTAAGGCATCTGCTTGCAATGCGGGAGACCCAGGTTCAATCCCTGAGTCAGGAAGATCCCTTGGAAAAGAGAATGACAACCCATTCTAGTATTCTTGCCTGGAGAATCCCATGGCCAGAGGAGCCTGGCGGGCTACAATCCATGGGGTGACAAAGAGTTGGACACAACTGAGTGACTAACATTTTCATTTAAACTAGAAACTCTTTGAGGTCAGGAACTGGATCTTATTCATTACCGTGAGTCCCTGGTGCTTAGCATAGGACTGTGATTATCTTAATAACTTCTTTGTGATGAATAAATTAATGGATAAGTGAATAAGTGAATATGGGCTGGTAGGGACCATTGCTGGAATTTTACATGAAGACTTCTTAAAGGAGCAGCACCTCTTGTGATTATTAAGGTCAAAGGAACCAGGTAGCTGGTGGGAAGCGAGTGAAAGGACATAGAAGTTATGGGGTAGAGTAGATCGTTTCAATAATGGCCTCTCAGGATTTTTGGCCTCCTGGGTCTGTGCCCTTTTGCAAAGTGACTTTGTCACTCTAGGCATCAAGATGCATGCATGCATGCTAAGCTGCTTCAGTTGTGTCCAACTCTTTGCGAGCCAATGGATGGTCGCCCACCAGGCTTCTCTGTCCATGGGATTCTCCAGGCAAAAATACTGGAGTGGGTTGCTGTGTCCTCCTCTAGGGGATATTCCTGACCCAGGGATAAAACTTGAGTCTCTTACATCTCCTGCATTCACAGACAAGTTCTTTACCACCAGCACTACCTGGAAAACCCAGGCATCAAGTATAGGAAGTCCATTTCACAATCCCTTGAATCTAGACTGACCTCAAGACTTGCTTTGCTCGGAGAATGTAGGAATATGACATTGTACAACTTTTAAGGCTAGGGCATAGGCCTTGATGCTTCCACTCCTGCCATGTTGAGAAGAAGTCTGGACTAGACCACACAGAGACAGAAGTCAGTAGCCAGTTGCACATGCATGAAGGAGAACATCTTGGACTGTCCAATCTAAGGGGAGCTACCAACATAGGTGATCTCAGGAGGGAGAAGCACAAGTGCCAAGCTGAGCCCAGCTAATCAATAGAATCACAAGGAGTAATAATGTTTTAAATCGCTGTGTTTGGGGTTGATTCACTGCAGAGTAAAGGATCACAGAATCACCAAGCACAGTATCTATCCCTTGTTTTGGCTTCCTTGTATCTATTTACCCTTCTCCATATAATAGGATTTTCCTGGAAAAGCCCCAACCTCAGCTCCTGTGGTCTGGGGTGGGTCCGACTCTACCCTCCTGGCTTCTGGTAGAAGCTTTGGGAAGGTCTTGAGCCCAGAGTTGTTAGTGACCTTTGTTACTTCTTGGGGAGCATCTGCTGGAGACGGGAGCCCTTGGGAAGAAAACATGAAAGAGAATGAGTCCTGATCCAGCTGTTCCTGGAGACAGTCCGCCCCTGAACTTTAAAAGGCAAAGGCCAATCAATTCACTATTTTGTATAAGCCGATTCAGTTCAGTCGCTCAGTCGTGTCCAACTCTCTGCAACCCCATGGACTGCAGCATGCCAGGCTTCCCTCTCCATCATGAACTCCCAGAGCTTACGCAAACTCATATTCATTGAGTCGGTGATGCCATCCAACCATCGCATCCTCTGTCCTCCACTTCTACTCCCACCTTCAATCTTCAATAAGCTGATTAGAGTTGGGAAATCTGTTACTTGCCCCTGAGGGCCAGGAAGTTGGCTAGGAGCTGAGCAGTTCCTGGCAGAGGGCTGTTAGGGTAGGAGAGAGCTCCCTGGAGCATGTGGGAAAGTGAATTTATTTTTCCTCAGTGCCTCCTGTATGCCAGGATCCAGGAATGAGACATGATCTCTGTCCCAGAGGACCCAATGGGTACAAGTTCCTCATTACAATTGTGATAAAGTGCTGGGAAGGAAAACGACTGTGCAGGATAATTGGGGGACTGAGCCTAGGCTGGCAGAGGGGCAGGAAAGGTCTCCCTGAGGAAGTGACCTTCAAACTAAGACTGGAAGTTTGAACTAGGCTGTGGGTGATGGGTAACAGGTGCAGGGGAGGGGGAGGTGATACTCTAGGCAGAGGGAATAGTGTGTGCCAAATCCTTGAGGCAAGAAGATGCTTCTCATCTTGAAGGAGGGAGAGTATGTCACCATGTACGGGGAGAGACTAGAGACCCCAAGTCCCTCGGAGTGAATCAAGATTTTCAACAGAAAGCAGCAGAAACAAATTCCAGCTAGCTCAAGTTCAAGGAACTACGAAGAGCGCTAAAGAACTGGGCTTGAGGTATATAACCCTATCACGTCACAGAACAGGTTCAGGAAGGCACCGCTGTGCCCGCCTGTACTGGGCTCTGGGCACTGCTGCCTGTGCCCAGCTGGTCCTGACGCTGGGTGAGAGTTCACTGCTCTGTGCCCAGGACCTCAGCCTTGTCGCCACAGCAACCCCCCACCCCCAGCCAGAGGAGATTGCTCCGGGGCCTCCCCAGCCCAACTTGTGGGCATCACTGGCTCTCTGGAGTAGACGGCGTGAACTGGAAGAGTCTGGGCCTTAGCTGGAAGAGAAACCTGGAGAATAGCTAACATTTTGGGCAGAAAATGGGGGCATTTCCCAAACCTTAGAA